GTAGAGCACTAGCCTTGAGCTGAAGAGCTGAGGGACAGCGCCCAGACCCAGAGTTCAGGCCCCATGACCGGCAAAAAAAAAAAAAAAAAAGTTTTCAGTAGTCTATCATTTGAAGTTATTTTAAATAGACATTGATTAGGAAAGGTAAGCTTTCTTCTTGTGAGGACTGAACAATTTTCTCACTATAAATTAAATGCTAGATAAATTAAATGCTAGGTTTTTTTTCTCTGGTAAAAATTGTAGAAAATTATGTATAATTTTTTATTATGTGTTTAAGTTATTGCCCTATCTATTTTTGGAATATATTTAGGTAATAGACTCTCTGTAGAAAGTACCTATTAGAGATATATGTAGTAGCATGTTCTACAATTCAAAGTACATAATTCTGCAAAATTCCACTTTTCGAAATATGTTCCATGGAAATAAAAATGCCTGTATATAAAGACATAAAAGAATACTTAATATATTCTTATTTGTTATAACTAAAAGCTAAGTACCAAGTTAGTGCTCAGTTTTAGGTGAATCACTCAACACATTTTCAATATGGAATATTAAACAGTTATTAAAATGATAAATTAGATGTTACCACATGTCTAAGAAGTATTTCTATGCAAATGCTGCTTGAGTGAAAATAAGGATAGTAAATATGATAAGATTCTAGTCTTGTAAAGCCAATAATGATATAAAGCTTTTATGTTTATATTTGTTTATATGTATATATGTATGGATATGTATACAGTATGTATGGATATGTATACAGAGTTTCAATCATATGACTAGAGAAAAATTTGAGGAGCACAAGATCATTGATTGCTTTTGAGAACTTAGAAAAACTGATACTGAAAACAAAATTTATAACTATGATTAAGTTTACCCCAAGTTACATTTACTTTGTTAGATATGCAAAGATGTTACAAATAATTCCTTAAAACTATATATACATATATATATATATATACACACACACAAACACACCATAAAACGTCTGTATTTAAATGAAGTGTGAGTAAGCTTAGAAAACCACAAAATCAAATGATAGTGAATTAACTATATCTATAATTTTGTGTTTTGTTTTTGTAGTAATTCCTCTGACTGATGATGTTCTAACTACATTAGGGAAGGAAGAGGTAAATAATGCAAAAATTTGTAGTAACTTCAAATTACTTACAACTAGAACTGTTTTAGAATCAGTTTATAATGTGTTAGGATGAAACTACCCTTACATGTGAAGATTTAAAGTATAAATATTAAAATAATTTTAAATACGAAATTGAATATTTTAGAGACTTAAATTTGAGGTCAATTTTCATATCAGAACTATTGTTGATGTTTCTAGTTAATATGTAAACATTAATTGCTTTTCTATTTTTTTAGCTGATTATTCCTAAAAACAAAAGGACTAAACACAGCTAAATGACTGAACACATCTTCTGCTGTGGAGTAAATATTTGTGTTGCTCTGCCTCCTCCTAGAACAATAATTTCTGTGTTGAAATATCCCTAATATAAGCATTTTAGGAGTTTAGACTTCTCGGTGATTTTGTCCTCCTTCTAAATGGGACAAATACCTTCCAAGTGTCTATGAACATCAAAAGGTTTTTCTTAACATCATATGAGGATACAGCAGGAAGACACTGTGTATAAGGAAGTAATTTTGCCAGTTAGGAAATATGCTGGCACCTGAATCTTAAATTTTCCAGCATAATGAACTTTAAGAAATTTCTACTTTTTCTAAGCTGCCCAATCTATGGTTCTTTGTGATAGTAGTCCAGGACTACCGGCACAAAGTTGGTACTGACCTGTAGAAGTGATCCCTTGATAAATACAGAAAAAAATGTGGCAGTGGAATTTAGTAATTGGTAGAGAGACTCACAGAATTTGAGACACATTTTATTTATTATAAAAAGATACTTTGGGCTGGGTGCTGGTGGCTCATGCCTGTATCTTAGCATCTCAGGAGGCTGAGATCTGAGGATTGCAGTTTAAAGGCATCCTGAGCAGGAAAGTGTGTGAGACTCTTACCTCTAGTTAACCACCAGAAAACCAGAAGTGGTGCTATGATTCAAAGTGATAGATCCCTAACCTTGAGCAAAATACCTCAGGGATACAGTCCAGGCCTTGAGTTCAATAAGCCCCACAACCTCCAGGTGCTGGTGGCTCATGCCTGTAATCCTAGCTATTCAGAAGGCTGAGATCTAAGGATTATGGTTCAAAGCCAGTCCGGGCAGGAAGTTTGTGAGATTTATCTCCAATAAACCACTCCAAAAACCAGAAGTGGCGCTGTGGCTCAGGTAGAGTGCTAGCCTTGAGCTGAAGAGCTCAGGGACAGCACCTAGGCCCAGAGTTCAAGCCCCACGACCAACAACAACAACAAAAGCCCCACAACCAACCAAAAAAAAAAAAACTTACAAAAGGGTATAGATGAATAGCTAAATGGAAGTGATACATAGGAAGGCACGTAGAAAGAGGCATAGAATTTCAGACTTATACTTAACACTTGGTTTCTTTATAGATTTATAATGTCACAAAAATGTAGCACTTACTTTTAAACCTTTCAAAGGGTTTCTGCTGAGCATTTTTACTATTGACTTCTGAATTGAGGTATCCTAAACTAATCTATAAATTCAGAAACAAAACTATTTTTATAGGATTAAAAACTGAGAGATTAACATCAATTATTTTGTTCCAGTTACAAAAATTGAAACATGATCTTGAAATTATACTACCCACTATTCAGTCAAAGAATAAAAAGTTAAAGGAAGACTTTGCAAGGTATATTTGTGTTAAAATTATGACTAACCATTAATTCATATGTTTAATTGTTATTTATAGTTTCATTTGGCTATTTGCTTTGTTTTTCTTTGTTTAAAGAGAGCAGCAGTGGTTGGATGAACAGCAACAAATAATGGACACACTTACTACAATCCAAAGTGAACTGGAAAGTCAGATTGAGGCACATTCTAAATCAAGGTAATTTGTGTTACATGAATTACAGGAAAAGAAGGTATGAGCCTTGTCTAACTTTGTGTGTATGTGTATGTACTGGAGTTTGAACTCAGGGTCTGGGTGGTGCTGTTCCAAAGCTTTTTTTCCAAGGTTAGTGCTCTGCCGTTTGAGCCCAGTTACACTTAGGCTTTGTGTGTGTCTGTGTGTGTGTCTGTGCTGTTGTGGGCCTTGAACTCTGGGCCTTGGGTGCTGTCCCTGAGCTCTTCAGCTCAAGGTAAGCACTCTACCACTTGAGCCACAGTGCTTCCGGTTTTCGGAGTGGTTTATTGGAGATAAGAGTCTCATGAACCTTCCTGCCTGGGCTGGCTTTGAACCATGATCCTCAGACCTCAGCCTCTTGAGTAGTTAGGATTACAGGCCTGAGCTACCAGTGCCCAGCTCCACTTGCTTTTTGATGGTTAAGTCTCATAAGTTGACTTCTTGGGCTGAATTTGAGCCATTATCCTCATATCTCCTCTTGGGTAGCTTGGATTACAGGCATGAGCTACTGGGGTCTGGCTTGCACTAATTTTCAAACACTATTACATAATCTTTTATGAACGATTTAACTGAGAAGTAGTATTAGTTTTCTTACATTATGTACAGATTATTACTTTCATAAAGCTATTTAGTTGGAGGAAATGAAGTTTCAACAAAGATTTTTATTAACTTTACGAACCACTGGGAATATGTATATGGTGTTTTTCAGCTACATATTTTTCTTTTAATATTTTTAGACTTGAAATGACTAATGAGATGAAAGCTAAAATACTCACTATAAAAGAATTTAAGGAGAAACTCTTGATTGCCCTGGGTGAATTTCTTGAATACTATTTTCCTCTGCCTGGTGGAAAAACTAAAAGGAAAAAGGTAGGACATTCATGTAGATTATTGTATTTGGTTCTGTTTTTGTTAGGCTCAAAGGGAAAGCCTACATGTTTTGAATATAAATATATGAATACAAGGCAGAAATTTGCCATCATCCCATTTTATTTACTAAAAAATAAGAATCTGCTTGGCTATTAAATAAGATGGTATTGATTAAATGCATTTAAAAAACTATCTCTGTATGAAGGGAGAAATTTAGGATTAAAAATAATATATTGAATATTATCAGAGGAATTGATAAAGTCCTTATAGTATATTGCTAAATGGAAAACAGATTTTTATTTAAAATTTTATAAATTGAATCTAATTTGTACCCCAAAATGTAGTAATACTTGTGTCTTAAGTAGCCTTTTTTGTGTATATGGTTTTGATTGTTGCTTTTTACTGTTGCCCAAATTTTTCTTTTCTTTTTTTTATTGTAAAAATACCATACAGAGGGGTTACAATTACATGGGCAAGATGTTGCCCAAATTTTTCATAATGATTATATGTATATTTAAAAGTAAGTTAAATGTTGGCAAAAATATGTTTGTTTAAGCAGTTAGCTTAATCTAGATTAAATAATAATTATGATAAAATGTCTTTTCCACAAGTGCAAATGTTTTATCCAGTGATGGATTATGAATACTTCAACTCTAGTCTTTAAAGCGACATATGAATAAAAACTTTCAAAATTGAAATTGAAAAAATTTAAAAATTGCTGAAAATGTCACCAGAACGATCTCTCTAAAATATAAGTGTATTAGTCTTTTTTAGCTAAAAATATTTGGTCTCTGGTAGGATGTCTATACGATTCTTAGGCTAATGGATTTATACATTAGGCTTTGTTTAGCTTTACCTCGTCATTCTTTGTCTATATCTTTAGAGAATCCAACCATTCTGCTGCAGATTCAGCAACTATGTAATGATTTCTCACATTTTTGTGACTTATACTTTGTTTTCTACCTAGAAAACCCTTTGTTTTTTTCTGTTCGCATATTTTTAATATAACATTTGAGTTCTTTTTCAGACAGGGTTTTATTACTTAACCTAGACTGGTCTTAAAGTCAGGCTCTTCCTGCCTCTTCCTGCCTGTCGAGTGCTGTGATTTCAGTTGTGCATTTCACACCAGATTTTAAAAATTATTGTTGAAAATTGAGCTAAGCCTATGCTCTGCCACTGAGTTATTCCTCCAGGGTGTGTTCAGAGACAGTAAATAAATGTGAGAATACTAAGGAAAGGAAAAAAGAAGTTCTAATTTTCTTAATAGGTGTTGTTTCCCCTATCATTGAAATTATACTTGGCATCATATTTGTTAGGGACTTTTGTCATCTATTTTATCACTCTTCTAGTGACCAGTTGAGTGTCATGATTTCTTGCCTCTCTCTATCCTTTTTTGCATCAGTTAACTCATAAATTTTCTAATTATACTTTCCCCATTTTTATTTCAATTATATTTTTTTAACCTATGAAACTTCTTTACTCATACAGCCAGAGGTTTCAAGCACCAAAAAGATGCATTGATTACCAGAAATCATCATGGGGTTATTAAGTCATATTTGATATCTTCACTCTTTATATTTTTATTTTGCTGATCCTGGGGCTTGAAGAGCTTCTTTTGCTCAAGGCTTGTGCTCTATTACTTGACACAGCTCCACTTCAGCTTTTTTGGTAATTTTTTGGAGATAAAAGTCTTTCTTTCCAGACTGGCTTTGAACTGTGGTGCTCAGATCTCAGCCTCCTAAGTAGGATTATGGGTGTGAGTAACCGGCACCTAGCTCTTCACTCTTAGAATGATGTAGAATAACTCTTGGCACGTTTTATAAAATGGTAAGATACTTGCTTAAGTTAAATCAGTGGTAAACACTTTTCTAGCATCCTCTATGCCTGTTTTTGTTTTCCATCACTATAAACAAACAAAAACCCAAAAAACCAGAAAAGGGTTTGAGGTGCTAAAGAGAATAGTATTATTACTTGAATTCAGGACTTTGACATTAGCCCTGGAAACACAGTAAAATCTTGGCTTAACAATTAAAATGGCAAATGGTTATCTGTTTGTACCATCCTGTTCTGTTGTGTCATGTAGGCTAGGCTGATCTGAAATTATTGAGTATGTTCAAAGCTGATGGCTTTGAACTCTTGATGTTCCTACCATAGCTTCCTATGGTTTTCTGAGTACAATACTATGCTCAGTCAAGTTTTTATTTTCTTTGAATTTTTAAAAATGTTTAGAATTTGTTTTTAATCTCAAGATTAGCAAGACATTGCTCTTAAGACAGAATATGCTGTGCAGAAGGCTTAAGGCCAGCCAGCTTGTGATTGCGCATTTTCACAATGTTGTTTGTTAGGGGATTTAAAAACTACATTTTTATGTACTTATGTATAATATGTGCAATATATTATAAGTTTATGGATAGCTTGAGTTATGTTTTATATGTCATAGAAACTTTAAATTTCTTTTTATGAATCCTACTTAAGTACAACAGGTTATGTTCAAGATCCTTTTAAAAATCACCTAATTATGAGCTTTGTAAAAGTAACCTTATACTACTATACCTAAGAAATGTTAATTTAAAAAGTCTTGCAATATAATTCAATATTATGCTAATGTCAGATGTTTCATTTTTCTTAAAGACAAAAGTTGAACCAACTGCACAGCTGATAACATTGAATGAGATAATTGAGGTAAGTGTTTTGTATAGTTTTAGAATTAGTCCTTTCTGAATAGTTGCACTGAAGCTTAAAAACAAAAATCTTGCTTTAATTCTTTGACATTATTAAATATATTTATAATTAATTCTACTATACAATTGGTATTAGTGTTTTCCTATATTAGGAAGGATATTCTTATTTTTAAAAGAAATTGTCATTGAAGTCCAGCCCATGTGATAATATCCAACATGTGATATTATTTAATACTTGCATATTAAAATCCTGTGTTGTTATAATGACAGACCTTATCAACACTTTATACTCTAAAATATTTGAGTGAGTGTTCCACACTTGTAGAAAGTAATCAAATTTTTCTTTAAATACACTCTTTTATCATTATGAACAGAAGGATTAATTCCAGCTTTTTCTGTTTGAAGTTCATTTTGTGTTATAAATTTTGTCTTATAAATTTTTTTCTGTTAAAAATGTATTTGAACTTGTCATTATTAAACTCATATTAAGTACTTAATATATTTAAAAATATTTAAATGAGACAACTGTGATCTTACTTCTCAGGAAGTTCAGACCTGAAGGAGTGAGGTTTGGAGCTAGCCTAGTCCGAAAATAGTCTGTGAGATTCCATCTTTAACTAACCAGCAAAAAAAGTTGAGTTTAAGGCATGGATCAAGTGATAGAACAATTATCGGTATCATAAATCCATGGTAAATTGATCATAGAGGAATTTAGGAAGAACAGGTATTAACTATAATGTACTTTTTTTAAAAAAAAGGTGGTAAGTTTAGAATAGACTTTCAAGGGCTGAAACATGTGTCTTTAGCAGAGGTTTTGCCCAGCAAGTGTGAAGTCCTAAGTTCAAAATCCAGTACCTGAAAAAATAACTTTTTCATTATATTAGGTAAAAAAAAAATTCTTTGCTTTTATCCCAGTAAGTAGTGCCTCAGTGTATCTTTTTTTACTAAGTTTTTTATTGTGAAAATACTGTACAGAGGGGTTACCATTACATGAGCAAGGTAATGAGTACATTCCTTATCAAGCAATGTTGCCTCCTTTGTTTTTCCCCTACCATCCCTTCCCTCCCATCTCCACAACTCAGTGTATCTTTCTTAATGAGTTATATTGTTTTGAAAGGAAATATATAAACATTTATTGGATATATAATTAGAATCTATTAGCATAATACTAGCCTTTTCTGTTTATACTGAAATTCTGTGTTTACTTTGGAATGTTTTTGCTTTTCATTTCTTCCTTTTTGTCTGTCCTGGGATTTAAACTCTGGGCCTCAGACTTGCTTGGCTGGTACTCAACCATTGCAATAGCTGTACCTCAAATCTTATTTTTCTTTTGAGCCAGTCCTGGGTCTTGAACTCAGGGCCTAGGCCCTGTGCATGAGCTAGGGTTTTTTTTTTTTTTAACACCTCCTTCTGTTTTTTTTTGTTTTGTTTTTTTTTTGGTTGGTTGTGGGGCTTGAACTCTGGGCCTGGGTGTTGTCCCTGAGCTCTTCAGCTCAAGGTAAGTGCTGTACCACTTGAGCCACAGCACCACTGCTGGTTTTCTGATGGTTAATTGGAGATAAGAGTCTCATGAACTTTCCTTCCTAGGCTAGCTTTGAACAGTGATCCTCAGATCTCAGCCTCCTGAGCAGCTAGGATTACAGGCATGAGCCACGAGCGCCTGCCCCTCCCTCCCTTCTTCCACCTTTTCCTCCTTGTCGTCTTCCTCCTCCTCTTCCTCTTCTTCCTCCTTCTCTCCCTCTTCCTGTCTATGTGTATGTGGTGCTGAGAATCGAATCCAGGGCCTCATGCATGGTAGGCAAGCACTTTACCACTGAGCCACCTTCCCAGGCCATTCAGCGCCCCCCCCCCCCCACTTCTTCTTAAAGCTAGTGCTCTACCATTTGAACAACAACTCTTGTTCTGGTTTTTTGGTGGTTTGTTGTTGATAAGATCTGATGGACTTTCCTGCCTTGAACTGTGATCCTCAGATACAGGGTCTTGATTCTTCCCCAGCCTCTTTCTGGACTACAGTTACATACAGTAGGCTCCTGAAGTGGCTGGAATAACTGGCATATTACACTCATGTAAGTTCCCTGTGTTGAGATGGAGTCTTGCATACTTTTCTGCTCAGACAAGCATGGAAAAGCAATCTAGCCAACCTCAGCCACCCAGGTAGTATACTATAATAGGCATATTCCATTGTGCCACCTATGAGTTGAGAAAAAGGGTTCTGTGAATTTTTACGCCAGGGCTGGCCTCTAATCATAATACTCTAATTCTCTGCTTCTCAAGTAGCTAGGATTATAGGTATGAGCCACTTGTGCCCAGAAGGATGTCATAACCATATTAAATGAAAATTGTCACTTCACATGACAAATACTGAAAAATATTAACTCATGTACATGTGGATAATTTTTCAGTAGCATATGGCTATTGGATACAATTTTTTAAAAAATTATGAAGCTTAATCTGGGGCACTGGTGGCTCAAGTCTGTATTCCTAGCTAGAGGCTGAGATCTGAGGATCATGTTTCAAAGACAGCTCAAGCAAGGAAATCCATGGAACTCTTTATTGCCAATTAATCACCAGAAAGCCAAAAATGGTGCTGTGGGTCAGTGGTAGAGCACTAGCCTTGGGCACAAAAGCTCAGGGATAGCACCCAGGCCCTGAGTTCAATCCCTAAGACTGGCGTACCCACACAAAATAAATAAAAAAGATAATTAGGAGGGGAACTGCAGGACAATATAAGGATACACTTGACTACTTTGAAGATTTATCTATAGATTAGATGGGTTTTGAGGATTTTATTTTTCTTTTTGTGTCTTTCTTTTTACAGCCTTTCTAATTTTACTTCAGGATTTCATTTTTCTGAAATCCAAGACACACTTGCCAACTTTGAACTTCTTCAAGTTATTTTGTCAATTTTTGGTGTGTGTGTGTGTGTGTGTGTGTGTGTGTGTGTGTGTGTGTGTGTGTGTGTGTGTGTGTGTGTGTGTGTTTCAGTTAAGGCTTGGTGTGTGTGTGTGTGTGTGCCTCAAGCTTTCACTTGGCTTTTTCAGTTAAGGCTGGTAATCTAACATTAGAACCACACCTTCCACTTCCATCTTTTTCATGGTTAATTAGAGATAGTTTCTCTCAGATTTTTCCTGCCTGGCTTTGAACTGCTAGCCTCAGATCTTAGCCTCCTAAGTAGCTAAAATTTCAGGCATGAGCCACCAGTGCCCAATTTTAATTTTTAACTCTGTATGTGTGAGTGTGTGTATGTTTTGCTGGGAATCAGCCCTCCCCCCTATGTGCTTCATAGGCATGTCATTTCCAACTATGTTATGAATTTTATATTTAATATTCTTATTTTTATCCTAAAAATTGTTAATCCTAAAAGAAATAGAAGAATTGTAAATGCTTTATAGCCAGGGCTTAGGAAATGTTTTCAGAAGTTTTAAGATGCAGACATTTGTTTAAAAACTTTTCATATCCAGTCATATTTGTAGTCTTAAAAAAAATCAAACCACTGTAATATTTAAAATTAAGCAATTACTCAAAGTAAGAAGTCAATATTCTTTGGTGGAAAACTTCATTCCCAATTGAAGTATATTTTGAATATTTTTTTTCCTAGATCCTTATAAATAGAATGTTTGATGTTCCACATGATCCCTATGTCCAAATTAATGCTTCCTTTTGGCCACCTTATATTGAGCTGCTGCTGCGCAATGGAATTGCCTTGAGACATCCTGAAGATCCAAACCGAATAAGATTAGAAGCCTTTCATCAGTAAAAGGATGGTCTCTTTTCATACTGTAAGGAATCTTGTTATCCAAGGATAAAGGAAACATAGCACTGTTTGAATAAGTCAATAATAGCTCATAGTTAGTAGTTCATATTCCTCTTGCTGTTTTATAAACAAGTTCTTACTGTGTAGCCCAGGCTAGTGTCCATCTCCATATCTTTCAGCATCCATTTCTCCAGTGCTGGTTGTGGTGTGTGCTACCACCGAGCAAGGTGGTTGATCTACTTTAAAACTTAAATAACGCAAACTGCCAACTATTCATTTATAAAGTGATATTTTTTTTTACTCATTCAGTACTTTTATGTTTTCAACTGCAAGTGAAAAATACTGTAGATTGTTTATCAAGTGTGTACTCAATGTTCTTTGAAAAATTGTAAATTTGTGAAGTTGCTAATATTTTTCCAGAATTGTTGTATTGGAGACTATTGGCTCATTCCTACAGGCTGAGATCTGAGGATTCCAGATTGAAGCCAGCTTGGGTAGACAAATGATTGAAATCTTTATCTCCAATTAATTAGCAAAAAGTCAGAACTAAAGGCATGGCTCAAGTAGTGGGGCACCAACTTAATTGAAAAAGCTTAAGGCCCTGAGTCAAGCTCCAGAATATTATTGCCCCCCCTGTCTCCCAAAAAATGAAAGGTCATTTAATTTGGAGATTTTTTTTTTCTTATGGTGCTAGGGAGCAAACCTAGGACCTTGTTAAAGGTAGGCAAGCACTCAACCATATCAGCAGATAGTCTTAAAATTGAAATATCCATCCAATTAGAAAGATAATTTAAAAATACTGAGCAAATGTTTCATATATATTGTTTCTTTTCTATGTTTGTTAAAAATTAGAATATGGAAAACTAGTGGATAAGCAATCTTATATTCTGTATTAAGTACCACTGACAGTATATGTTAATACCCCTCTTGTTTCTGCTAATTATTACCAAGAAAATTGTGATCAAAACATTTTGCAAGTTTCTATAAATAAATTTGTTTCTAAAAATCTTTGAGTGTTGATGCTCTCTCATATTTTTATAGAGAAGACCATTTTACAGGTAGGTAAAGTAAGTATTGCATTCATTTAGTATTACATAAGAGTGGAATTAGAGAATTCTAAACAGTATTGTTTGTTTTCTAAGAGAAAACTTGTGGGTTTTTGTACTTGAAAATGCTTTCTACTGTGTTTTAACCATCTCTTCTTTTCCATTAATTACATTATCTTTTTAAAAGTAAGCAAGTGCGTAGCCCAGACTGGCCTTAAATTCCCAATCTTCTTTATTTCACCAAGTGCTGGGATTCCAGAAATGTTATCACCATGCCTGGCACTTTATATACTTTGTTCCTATACTTTGTTCCTTATAATTACTATGGAGAAGAGATGATGGTTCAATGGTTCTTGTGGTTTAGGCCTGCTCATAGTTCTTTAGAGGAAGTAGTACTATTGTCTGTGAATGTTCTTGTGTTGCAAATTAACAGAAGAGATATCATCAGTGAATAGCTTGGTCATTGATTTGGGACATCTTTATATCGCATCCTTATTTAATTTTAACCCAGAGCTTATGTAGCAAGATTATTGTCTACATTTGTCTCAGTCATAAAGTAAATTTTAAATATTTAATTATATTAAACTAGATTCAATTTAAAATTTATCTAAAATTGTAGCCTTTTGAGCTTTTTGTAGCTTAGAGTGTTGTAGAAAATACTACAAAGAATGACACTTGCATATTTTTAATATTCAATGATTTAAGAAAAATCATTGAAAACAATATTTAGAATTTGTTATTTCATAGACATATGACACAGATGAAAATGTTTGAATCAGATGGGTTTCAGATTTTGAAGCTTTTTTTTGTAGTGGTGGGGATTTGCAATACTTTTGATTTTGAAATATTTGCATAAACTTTTCTGGTTGAATATCTTTTTTGAAAAAGTCTTTAATTTTTGCTGGTGCTTAAGCTTACATTCAAGGCCTCACATTCTCAGTTGGCTTTTTTGTTCACAGCCACACCTCCACTTCTGTCTCTACTTCCATTAATCAGCAAAGCAAAATGCTTTACTATCTCAAACTTTTTTTTAGTTGGTTGTAGGGCTTGAACTCTGAGCCTGGGCGCTGTACCTCAGCTCTTCAGCTCAAGGCTAGCAGTGCTCTACCACTTGAGTCACAGTGCCACTTCCAGTTTTTAGAGTGATTTATTGGAGATAAGAGTCTCATGGAGTTTGCTGCCCGGGCTGGCTTTTAACCGCGATCCTCAGATCTCACGTCTCCTGAGTAGCTAGGATTATAGACTTGAGCCACCATGCCCAGCCAATCTCTAACTTTTTGAGTGCTAGACCTTTTCCATTCTGGGGTTTTGATTAGGGATGCTTATCCTATAATGTAAAATAGATGAAAGTAATACCACATTCTTTGGTTATGTTAGTGTAACTTAAAAACAACTGTCTTTAATCAGCCACAAAAAAATACCTTTAACTTTGTTAATGGTTAATATGTTGGCATAGGTTGGGGATGGGAGGAATTCTCTATTTGGTTGAAAATACACTTCCTGTGGAGTAAGATGTTACTATGTATTTACTGTATTTGATTTTTATCACTATGAATATTTCTAGTACAGCTAAAAAGCAGGAAATTTTATTTTGACACAGTTTCAAAAGTTTCAATCTACTTTTGCTTGGCTTCATCACTTTGGGTCTGAGAGGAAGCCAAATATTAAAAAGTCTGTGAGGAGGCTGGGAAGGTGGCTCAGTGGTAGAGCGCTTGCCTTGCATGCCTGAGGCCCTGGGTTCGATTCCTCAGCACCACATAAGCAAAAAGAAAAAAGCCGGAAGTGGCGCTGTGGCTCAAGTGGTAGAGCACTAGCCTTGAGCTGAAGAGCTGAGGGACAGTGCCCAGGCCTAGAGTTCAGGCCCCACGACCGGACCCTCCCTCCTCCCCCAAAAGTCTGTGAGATCTAAAAATATAACTATGTAAGGATATAATAAAATTGACAAACCTTAGCCAAACCTAAAGAAAGTGAGGACCCTCCAATACAATTAGAGGTGAAAAAGAATACCAATATCTGTGAAATTCAGAGGAACCTTAGGGAAAATTTTGAAAAATTATTTTGTTGGTCATGGGGCTTGAGCTCTAGGATTGGGCACTGTCCCTCAGCTCTTTAGCTCAAGGCTAGTGCTCTACCACTTGAGCCACAGTGCCACTTGTGGCCTTTTCTATTTATGTGGTGTAAGTGATTGACCCCAGGGCTTCATGCATGTGAGAAGCACTTTACCACTGAGGCACCTTCCCAGCCCCTGAAAAATTACTTTAATAGATTAGAAAATCTAGAAGACCACTGATTCATTTCTAGAAGGAGTAATAGAATCTTCTAACCAAGAAAAGCCCAAACCAGATAAATTGATTCCTATAAAGGACTAAATGAGTATCCATTGTTTTTTGTTTTGTCAGCCATGAGGCTTGAACTCAGGACCTGGATGTTGTCCCTGAGATTTTCTGTTCTACCACTTTGAGCCATAGATCTGGTTGTCTGATGGATAATTGGACATAAGATTGTGAGATTGTTGAGCGCTGGTAGCTCACGCCTGTAATCCTAGCTACTCAGGAGGCTGAGATCTGAGAATTGCAGTTAAAAGCCAGTCTGGGCAGGAAACTCCCAAGAGACTTCAATAAACCACTCCAAAAACCAGAAGTGGCCCTGTGGCTTAAGTGGTAGAGTGCTTAACTCCCAGACCCAGAGTTCAAGCCCGATGACTGACCAAAAAAAAAAAAAAAAGATTGTGAGTCTGGTTCCTGGACTGGCTTTGAACTGTGATCCTCAGATGTCACCCTCTGAGTAGCTAGGTTTATAGATATGAGCCATTGGTATCTGGCCTCTCAACCTCTTCAATATTGTTCTTAATATCTTAGCTAGTATAATACAGCAAGAGAAAAAAAAGCATACTGAAAATGAAAAGTAAAATTATCCCTATTTGTAAATAGTATGATTTCATATTTAAAAAACCATACGGATTCTACCAAAATGTCTTTTACTTTTAGCAAATAAAAGGATACAAAAGACAAAAACAGTAGCTTTTCTTATACAAGTAGTGAACCAAGTGAGGAAGAAATTTGGGTTAAAAAAGTAAATGCCTTGAAAGTTAATGAAGGAAAAAAGACTGAAAAAAACCCTGAAATCTTGAGGAAAGAAAAACAAGATGGAAAGACCTCATAGATCAGCTATGTTAGTGTTTTTAAAATGATGTACTACTAGAAGCAATATGCAGATTCAGTGTGATAAATTCTAATATATTTTGCACAAGCATAGAAAAATCTTAAGATCCATATGGAAGCACAGAAGACCCCAAACAGTCAAAGCAATCCTAAGCAAATAATCACTTGAAAAATACTAGGGGTATCACAGTACCTGTCTTCAAGTTAATACTACACAGTCCTGCTAACAAAAACAGCGTGATACTGGCACAAAAACAAATAAACCTATGGACTAGTATAGAACATCCAGAAATAAGCCCATATATCTACAGCCATCTGATATTTGACAAAAGACATCAAAAACACACAATGGGGAAATGAATAGTCCTGTGAACAATCGTGTTGGAGAAAACTGGCTAGCCACATGTAGAACATTGAACCTAGATCCCTCTCTTACCCAGTATAAAAATTCAAAATGGGACAAAAATCTTAAATGTAAGGTTCTGCTTTAAAACTAGTAAAGGTAAACAAAGGAAGATCTTGGAAGTTTAGGGATATTAGAATATTAGATATATTAGATATTAGAATAAGGCTACAACTGTTTAGAAGAGCAAGAACTGACTAATTGGCTTATATAAAATAAGGGAAACTGTTGGGCACTGGTGGCTTGTGCCTGTTAGCCTAGCTGCTCAGGAGGCTGAGATCTGAGGAGCATGGTTCAAAGCCATTAAGGGCAGGAAAAGTCCATGAGACTTATCTGCAATTAACCAGAAGCCAGAAGTGGAGAGCTGTTGCTAGAGAGCTTTGAGCAAAAGAGCTTCAGGGACAAGGCCCAGGCCCTAAGTTCAAGCCCCAGGACCGGCAAAAAAATAAAATGTCAAAAAGACAACTAATAAGTGGGCAATTAGCTATTCATAAAAGATGAATATCCAATATATACGAAGACTTAATTGCTCAACATCTTTAGTCATACTAGAATTGCAAATAAAATGATAGTATCCATTTCACTTACCAGAATGACAGTCATCAATAAAACTGTTAGCCAAAGGTGTAGGGAAGATGGTATTCTTATAAAAGTGCCTGTTGAGGACTGGGAAGGTGGTTAAGTGGTAGAGTGCTTGCCTTGTACTCATGTGGCCCTGGGTCGATTCCTCAGTACCATGTAAGCAGAAAAAGCCAGAAATGGTGCTGTGGCTCAAGTGGTAAAAGTGCTATCCTTGAGCTGAAGAGCTGAGGGACAACACCCAGGCCCAGAGTTCAGAAAAAGAAAAAATATTAAAATGTAAATCCAACCATTATGGAAATCAGTATAGAGGTTCC